TATCTATATCTATATCTATCTATATCCATCTATATCTATCTATATCTATATCTATATCTATACCTAAATCTATCTATATATCTCTTTATCTATCTACATCTATCTTTATCTATATCTGTCTTTATCCATCCATATCTTTCTGTATCTATCTGTCTCCTAGACCTAGACCTAGATCTAGATCTATATCTATATATACATATATTTATACATATCTATGCATCTCTCTATCTATCTATCTATCTAACTATTTATTTGTCTATCTACCTGTATGAATCTGTATCTGTCTATATTCTCTGTCTATCTCTATCTACATCTATCTCTGTCTAGCTATATCTATCTATCTATCTATCTATCTATCTATCTATGTAATCAGCTATGTATCTTAGCGCTCCGACCTTACACACGTATAAATAGAATTACAAGCAACAGGAAGTACAATATTCTAAGACAGTATCCCATGAGTATCTTCACAGCACACTGATGCTCATCACTGACAACTACCTTCCTTTCCCCCAAATACTTATCTTTTTGAGACCCTGCTACATGTTGATAGAATGCAAGCAACAGCCAGTGCGATACTCTAACATATTATCCCATGATCCATCTGTTTTTTGGCTCTGGCTACCTGTGGATAGAATCCAAGCGACAGGGAATACAATACTCTAAGGGATCATCCCATGAATGACTGCGCAGTACATACAGTGACATTGAGGGCAGGATCTTGCTACCTGTGGATAGAATACAAGCAACAGGGAACACAATACTCTAAGAGTTTATTCCCGTGAACGACTGCACAACACAGTGACACCAATCACTGAAACGCACCCTCCCTTGCCCCAGGGACGCATTGGGAAGGGTAGAGTCATCGCAGGCAACAGACTGCTAATCCAACACTGACTGTTACATGTAGAGATTCTGGCCTCAGGGCTTAAGACCCAGGGAGGATTTAGTGTTTAAGCTTTACTTCAATTCACATACTATTCTGAATTTTGCCGCTTTGTGGTACTGCATAGTAGCCTTTAGCTGGAGCAT